CTATTGGTAAAAACTTTCTTTTTGCGACAATATGTCACACTTGTTACGGAGTATGACTGGCGAACTTGGTCTTGATGGCCTGTGTCAAATTATTCACCTTTATTCACCCCTACATGTTGGACTTAGCGAAAAAATAGCCTTGGACTTTGGAGATATTCACCCCCATCTCCACCAATTATTCACCACTTAGGCAAAAATGAAAAGACTGGCTGTTATCAGTGCCAACCCGCTGGGTTGCCACTGATAATGTACAGTGGGTTTTGGGATAAACAGGTGCCTTTGTTGCCATTTTGATTGATATATCATAGATGTCGCAAAAATTCTATCTCTTTTACAAGAAATCAAGTTCTGTATTGGGGTATCAAATATAGCATATATTGTGACTACCCCCTTTTGCAGACAATAAGTGCAACTTAATTCAGCTCAAATATTTGTTCAAAAATCATGTCACATCATTATTACCCTAATTTGTCATACTTATATCAATATATAATGGTAATTTGTACCTGATTTCTAATATATCAGGTACATTTTGGCGCCGCCCTGGGCCGCCGACAAATATGGGCTTATATCTTGTACCATATCCAGTGCATTTAATTGAATTTCTTATAAATCATGTTCACTTTCCTGAAGGTTTATTTGTTATCTTTCCAAGTTGTTGAAATATACATTTTTTTTTGTCTACTATTTATTCCTTTGGGCCCAATTTTGAGGGGAACCTTGGTGTGTAATTAGCATGATTCATTTACTGTAGCATTTTATTCAGTTTGTATGTCATGTGTCACACTGGCTATAAAATTTGGTTTTTTTTTTTTTTTTTTTTTTTTTTTGCTGTCACACCATTTTGCTCTAAATCCTGTGCCAAAGGGGCAATTTTGAAGCGTTAGGTTGATCGATAAGACAGAACACATGCGGGTATGGAACCCCGGAGCACGACATTATGATGTAATCATGCTGATTCACCCAACAATGGTATATCCAACGTCGTACTTAGCGTACTTCAGTTGTCAACAGCGCAGTCAGCGCAGTTATCCGCCCTGTCTGACAGACTCGCAAGGGTTGGGGCAACGACGGCAGCGACGGCGATGGGCTCCCGGCTGGTCATGCCCCTGGTACTTACGGCGTCGTCCGGTGCAGCGGTGGGTGGGTGCTTACGAGCTCGGAGATGGGCGCAGGCTGCGGGTGGAACCGGGAGATGCGCCGGCGATGGGCCGGTAGCGCAATGCTGGGGTGGATGGAGTGCAAAGGTGATGGCGGCGCGCCGGGTGCCGACGGACTCGCACTTGGAGATGGGCGCGAGATGCGGGTGGAACCCGGCGGCTTCGCGCCGGCGACCCAGGGCTGGTAGTGCAACGGCAGCGGCAGCGCTGTGTCCGGGCGCAAAAAGCTGTGTCCCGTGTCATGCCTCATCGCGCCCGCTAAGCAAACACCGTGCAGGATCGCCGGCCGGCCCCCGCCAATTCCATTTCCTACAATCGTGAGTGACATTCTGGTCGGATCCGCGGAGTGGATGACACCAGCCCCCACAGACAATGCACCAGACGATGATGTTGGTTGTGGTGAGGAGCGGCATTATGCCTGTGATCACTGATCACCAGGCTGAACGTGTTGCCCGCGCGCCCGGCAAGAAAATGGGACCACAGTAGTGTGCGTCACGCCGCGGGTAAATCCGGGGTGGCCCGCACCCGTTCCCGTCGATGGCCCGGCCCCGCTTCGGCGGGTGCGGGTACCCGCGGTTTGGCCGACAGGCCGCGGGTGGCCCGCGTTTCGCAGGCCCTGCCCGCATCGCCCTGACTCTCGGCGCAGCTTGCCAAGAGTTCTTGACACCGTGGCGGCACAACGATCAACCTGATTTGATCAATTGTAAGTCGTAGTCGATACGCGGCATGGAGCCGGGGCCGGTGAGTCAACGGCCTGGTCCCGGCCATCGAGCGAGTTGAATGCCTGCAGTGGTGCCCGACATTAAGTCTGAAAGACTCCGTGGGTGTGCATGCTTGGCGCAGGCCCACGCCGTTTATGTGCGAAATCCCATAGCCCTGGCTCGCAGTCGCATTGGAGAGCTAACCGGAGTGCGCCATCCGCGCATCGGTTTGGCATCGGTCATGGAAGCCGTGTACGGTCACATGTACGTATCCGATGACAGGTGTCTGGGGTCCGCTGCCTAATTGAGTTATTCGGGCATCAAATGAGCGTGGTGCTCCGGGGTTCCATATGCGGGCCTTATTTACGTAGAGCTCTGGCGCCGGAATATACTCGATATCGTCCATCAAGTGGATATCACACGAACCCAGTAATGAAGGGAAATTGTTATCACAGTCTAGATCTGCTGGACATTCCTGGTCGTTCAGCTTCTCTGTACCGTTTTGCTACTGCCACTGTACTGGCAAATTCTCGGCTTTTTCGAGCACCCACCCGGGCTGATCCTGCAGCCCACCTCGCTGGCACGACTGGCGGCAACCGCTGACTGCCCCGGGCTGCGTCGCCCCCCAGCACATCACGCAGCTTTGCCCACAAGCCGCGGCCCCATCACTTCAATGTCGATGATCCCACTCGGAAACCGCTGCCTGATCGGTGGCATGATATCATCTTTGTGCCAAAGGCGACATCGAGAATGGCAGCGCCAGGCTGGCTGCACTGTAGGTACTCTTTGAACAAATTGCAGATAACACGTACAATGGAGTGGGGCACGGGGTTGCTTGAGCGTGGGCGGGTCGGCATTGCGGAGGTCGTGGCAGAGCCCAAGGCACGCAAGTCGCGGTTGGCAGACCGTGACTTGCATCCTAGACCAGGCGCTCATTCTCCCGGAGTCTGAGGGTGTCAAGCTGACGTTGCGAGTTCGCGGCTGTCATGGCGGCCCGGCCCATACGCGTTGCCTGAGGGTGGATGTCAAGAAAAGGGAAAGAGAAGCGAACATACGGGGGGGTTTCTTGTTTTGTCCTGTCGGACTAACCTTCTTGTCGCAGAACGTGGCGATCACGGCTTGTTTCAAGGCTTCCCATGGCCAGTGCCGTGTATCACGCACCCGATGCAGCTCCTTTTCTCTGCGCCTTCCGTTTGGCGCATTTTGCCTTCAGCGCGTCGAGCCGCCAGATCCGAACTTGAGTATTTATCTTGGCACTATAATGGTGGTCAGACTGCATTCAAGCGCAAAGCATATATAGCCAGACACACCTCGTTCGAATGTGTTTGCAACTCTGAGTTCTTGGACCCTAACAGCTTGTTCTCCTTCGCGATCTTCCAGTCCTGAAAACTATCAGTGGACGCATTCGCCGGCGGCCCAGAATCAATTAGTGGCCTGTATGCTTGCTGCTTCTGCAAAGGAATGAGCACGGAGCGTTCAGTACGACCTGCACAAAAGTGAGCCCGACCCGCGGTTTGGATACGGACACTAACCTCACGCTCCCTCGATCTTCCGCTCGTCATTTCGACTGCGACCGAGATGCGGACGCATCGCCTACTCGTCTGACTCGGTAGGTATGGTCCGTATGGAGGGGGTGGCATCCGTCTGCACGGTTGCAGGGAGACTCGAGAGGGAAAAAGCTGACCATTTCAATATCGCAGGGATCCAGCACGACTATGGGCGGTGTCTCGGCCTGCCAGTGCATCTGCATCTTGTCAGTAACTAACACCTCTTTCGCGCGACGACATCCGCCAGAGCGCACAGACTCGGACGCGGCCAGTCTGTCTTCCACACTGTCGAGAAGCGCTTGCGAGCACCGTAGATTGACCGCCTCGAAATCGTCGTTGTCCATTCGGTGGGCAGAAGGATGAAGGGTCGCGAATCACATTCTTTTGTGGGTACTTACTGCCGCGTTCAGTGCCGAAAACCAGATTTGGCCCTGCAGGTGTGTTGAGTGCGGCTTTCTATGCGATGAGCGCTGGTTTACGCACTGTATCTTCCGCAGGCTTCCGGTATGAGCGAGCTCAGCTCAGAACCTCGCGCCAAAGCCACGCGTTGGAGCAGGAAAACTTCGGAAGTGGTCGGAGTGGAAAGAATCCGAAAGATGCAGACGGCGGAAGCGACCGCGGCTTGCGCGTAATCATACATGCAAGGATCTTCAGGCCGTAGGCTGCGGTCGAGCGGGTGCTCGATAGCAACCGCTTCATCGCGACGGAGAAGATGTTTGTTGGGCTTGGCCGTTGCCACGTGGCGGTCACGTCATGACTCATCCGCTTACATCTTTCTCAAGTTCCGTCATGTCCGCCCCACACCTGGTGCGGAAAGCGATGCCCCGTGCTTTGCCAACGCATCAGCGTGCCCTCGGATACTCCAGCAACATAGCAGTCCAACGGTGTCTCTTACAATTCGGACTACGCCAACAATCGATTGGCTTTCGCAACACGGAGATGAGACGATGAGGCTTGGTGCTATATCTTGGGAGTGTGGCGGCAATATTGTGGAGCGCCGTGTCTGTTTGGCCTCCGCTGGCTCGCAAGGTGTGTGGAAATGGCTGTATATCTCGATCTTGTCTGCTACTCACCTTGGTCTTAGCGTCGTCCCACTGGTCCCAGGTTCCCTATTCATTCACATCCCCATGGCCAGCTCTCCGCACCCGAAATCATATCCACTCCCGAGTCCCTCATGTTCGCTCACCGCCCTCGCTGTTTTTCCCGCTTGCTTGAAGACGACAAACGCGACTCAGCGCCTGTCAACTACTCACAGTTGTGGCTTTCCCTCCTACCCCTGCTGGGGTTACGTTGATGTATTTACGAAGTTCTCGGCGGCGCCGCGGTCGCCGGTGTTGGATTCAGCCATACTGGTCAATTGCGTTGTTCAATGTGGTGACTGGAGTTAGGGGGCAAAGGTTCTCGTTGTTGGATTTCGTCTTCAAGTTCGCTTCTTACGCATATCAGCCCAGTTCGTCTTTGCAAACCATTCCCACAGTGTCCTTTCTGTCACTTCTGTCGTCCGAATCACCCACGCCCAAGTTATTCCTAGTTTGGGGTCGACTCGCTTTGCATTCTCAAACTACTTCTGTAATATCGATCGGCTTGTAATCTCATGCAACTGTGTCCCCATTCGCGTCGAAGCTGTATGCCCGCTCCACCCTCGCAACTCGCACGTCATATGCGAGATACCAGTCTGTCTTGCCCCTCTTCTGCGCCAGCAAGTGCTCGAAATTGTGTTTCCATGCCCGGATACTCTCCTCATCAGCCCAATACGACACAGTGATTCCAGACACAATTGACGCAGCGGCTGTCTCTGAACACAAGATGATTGAGGTTGAGGAGGGTAGATAAGTGTTGATGACACACCGCCCGCATGTTCGAGGCCCAGAAAGCCAGGCTGCGCTTTTGCTAGCTGCACCATCCTGTCGGCCATCTCGGCATAGCCGTCGTCGGGCCGTGCAGCACGCGTGGAGGTGAAGATAACGGCGTAGTATGGCGGGGAGGTTCTGGGGGATCTGGTTTCCATTGTCTATCAAAAAGCTCAGGCTAACGCTGATTGATTTTTATATCAGGCGACCGGTCTGGTGGAAACTGCGAAAGGAGTTTGGAGTTTGGCCATCGGCGTCAAGAAATAAGCGTGTCACACGCCACGTCAGCGCCACGTGGCCGTTTCCATCTTGGCTCTCCCCATCATCCAGCAGAATCGGCATGACAACTGGATGGCTATACCTCTATCGAATCTGCTCGTACTGTATCCTGCCAGCCAGACATAGAGCTTTCCTGTCGACAGGCCAATATCTGCCTACGTGACTCTGATGACACATCCGAGTCGGTCCGGCCCTCCCCGCAAATCGCATGCATTGCTCTGGACTTGATGTCGTTCGCGTCTGGATACTATGGAACAAGACGGATAACAAGGCCACTGACTCCTGGTGGCACCACTCTTTGATCTTTGAGCAACACCGTTGTTTTCTGGTGCAAGTCTATACTGGGAACAAGAACACGTCGACAAGGAAGCTGATCGACTTTGCTCTTAAGAGTCAATGCTGCTAGAGAAAGGTTTCTTTGCTCGATCTCCCTGCTGTCCCGTCTTTTTGCCCAGGTCCCGAGTTAGCATACACTCGAAGTCACTGATACATTACTACAGCTTCCGTTGATTCATGCTGCGGTTCAATTTGAGCGATGGTACAGTCCCAAGCTCCCTGAAAATCGATATATTAACTGCAGACCAGTCTACAAGTCAATTCTACAACTCTAACTATGTACGAGTTTACGACGAGTCCAGTGCAAGTCCTACTATTTGGCTCTACAACTATATGGTGCGGTTTTTCTAGAGTGCGAGTGAAAACAATGCTAAATGTTAATGCTAGATTGTCAATGGAGTTCAGGATCAAATAAAGTTACGGTGATTCAAGTCCCAGTGGTGAAGAAGGCTCGGCTGGTGCGTCCTTCATCTCGGTGTCCCCTCCTCTCTGCTCACCAGCGTGCCGGCTTAGGCCCAACATACAGGACGCCTCCGCCTTGTGGCGATGCATGCACGGAGTAAACTCGTGCAATGCCCAGGAAATCGAGCTGGTCAATCAGTCGCACACCCCGTGGGACAAAGTGCTCATGTAGCATCCGATGGATGCTCAGCAGTGTTGCCCGCTGACCGCTCCCCCCGACACCAGCGAACACAGTGACACCCAACGGCTGCGTCCCCAGCGGTCGTCCCCGCGCATCAACAATGATTTCGACAATCGAAATTGGAGTCGACTGCGTGGCGGGGCCATGCCAAGTTACGCGTGAGCGCAACTCGCTGGCCGTCAGCCTCCCGATCCGTGCCTTGAACTCGCAAAGCGGGAGCCCCAGGTCCAGGTCCACGAATGGCACCGAGCGGACTGGGGACGGGAAGGTCGTGGCTGTCGTGGCAAAATGGGCATAGGGCATTGGCATTATGTGCTCGTGGCGGGGTCGTAAGGGTCGTGACAGGCAGGGCTTTGCGCTGGGTCCTGAGAGGCGGAGAGAGGAAGGGGACGAAAAGCCATTGGACTTGTGGCTGGTCTATTTATGCTAAATCATGGTGCTTGTGGGTGCGTGCTTTTTCCCTGTCCTCCCGCCCGAAATCCAATTCAGAAAAATTGCAGCTGGCTTCATTTTGTGTATCTTCCGCGATTTCCCGTTCTCAGAATATTTGCGGCACTCCTGAATATACTCATAGAGGAGAGGAAAATAAAATACCTCGACCGTTCTAATCCCGCTGTGATGCGCCGACGAGTCACCCGAAGCGCAAAATGTCGTACATGTACATACATAGGCTATTAAAAAATTCATTAATGGTTGAAAGCTGTGCGGTTTGCCTTGTGTGGAGGGCTTCTAATGCAAAAGAAGCCGGTCTACGCGTCCAACAGTCGGTGCCGGCGCATCATGATTTGAGTTCAAATTTGGATATCCTTGTTCCATGGTGGATAATTTAAGTACTTGTGGGGAATAACGGCGGCGGGCATTGATTCAATGCCAATCTCGAAATCTGATGCAACCATGTAGTCATCAGGCCATGAAGTTCTGTCTGTGTGATGAGTTTGATTGGTGACCAGAGTTGCCAGACATTAATAACAGGATTTACAATTGGCGCAAGATATACATGAGCTTTCTCCAACATCATCTCAGTAACTCAAAATTAGTAGAATTCTCCCTCTCCACTTGCGACTATCAGGCCTTTCGCGAATGCCTTCGGTAGGTGCTGCTGCAGTTTCTCCTCCAGGCACGCAACATGCTTGGCCGTGTCATGCTCCGGACACTGGCGGTGGTCGTAGTACGTCAGCCTTATGTGCCATTCCGCCTGGCGGACTCTGGAATGGACATCCAGCGCTTCATCGAGGAGCTGAAGCGCGGGTAGGGTAAAGGAGTAGACCTGGTCTGTCGGGACTACAGCGGCGAGGTCCTGGAAAGTCAATTGCAGGCGAGTCAGCGAGGGGACTCCGTTTTGGGAGAGCACTGTGATTATGCCGGGAGGCGGATCACATGAGTCGATGGAGAGGATGAGCTCGCAGAGGGAAGGGAGGCTGGGTGGCAAGACAAACCGTTGTTCGAATGAGTCTGGTCATGGGTGAGTATTATGTACTTGAAATGAGACTAGTGCGAGACTGACAGGAGGAAATCTTGAGCTCGAGCCGCTCCAGTGTGGCGGCTGACAGAAAACAAGGAGAAAGATCCTCCTGGTTGTCAACTCCATGGTGCTCCAGAGTGCGGAGCTGCCGAATACATGGCTCGAGTTCAGAATCGATGCAGAGCTGTGTGTACACCGATCCACTTTGAGAAATGCACAAGTCGATGATAGGCTTATTTGGCCTGAATGGAACAGCAGGACGGGACGACTCCGGGAGATAAGTGGCGACCTCAACAAAGGTGAGTGATGGTGCAGCAGAGAGGATTCGGCGGAATAGTGTTTTAGTAAGGTTGAGACACCACAGTGTCAGATGCTGCAGCGTTCCATGCGATTCAAGGATTCTCAGCAGCAAGCTGAGGACTTGTGCATGCAGTTCGTATCCTTGATTGTCGACTTCATCCTCATAGTTGCGGATACTGGCTTTGCGCACGTTGACCAGCTGCCGGAAAATCGACTCAGCAAGGGGCTGTTCCTGCCTCCACACCTCTTTGTCGCTGGGAAGAATGACGCGGAGATTGGTGACATAGCCCGCCATGTGTGGCTTCTCCGCGAAGAGCCCAGCGACTTGCGCATAGGAGCGGCTTCTGGTGCCAGTCGGAACGCGGAGGAAGGAAAATAGGCGTTTTTGAGCGGGGTGGCGGAATGCGGTGGACACAAGAGAGCAAGCGCAGAGGATTTGGGTGTCTTCGTTCGAGATGTGTGCGAGTATGGGCTCGTAGAGCTCCGGGAGTAGCTGTATGGCCATGCTGTTGTGGTAGCTGGACACAATCGATTTCAAGCGTTGCCAAGTCGAATTCGAACTCAGAACGAGGTATTTGTAGACTCGGAGAGTCGCAGCGCTGCTGGAACGGCGAGTGAAGAGTAGCAGCGACAAGCTAGTTGGTGGCAAGAGGAAAGGAGCGAGCAGTGCCGATCGCCCGAAATCGCGCGTGATCAATATCAGTCACGGTCTTCTTCTTGTCTTTTCACCACCACTGCTCTCCGCCTTCACGGCTGCTCGTCACCTAAATCGCTCACACGCAGTCAACGCTCACCGATTCAAGTACGAGGGACGGCTCACTGGAAGCGGAAGGCCGAGATTGAGCGAGCAGTGTGTCTTGCCGTTTGCATGCCTTTCCCCGTTTTGCTGACATGTTCGACCGCTGCCAGCGCGGGAGAATATGCGGAGCGATGCGTCGAGTGGATTTGCGAGTGTAGAGCTGGGTTAACCGCTGGAGAGGTCGAGGAGAGTTGCCGGCAGGGCAACATAGGGTGCAAGTGAGTTGTCGCTCGCTTCGGGCTTGCATCTGTGGCTGATATTTGGCTGTAGCTATCGATGCTCGCCTATACGATACAAGGTCGTTCCACGCGAGACGACTCCGATTGCCATTGTTGGCGAATGGAAGAAGCAATAGCTGCTTCTGCTTCACGACCTCCGCCTTACCCCGAGCCTCGCTCTTATCAGTCGCGCCATATTGTTACATATAGCTTATGGCTCTTGCTCAAATGCCCTCCCCTTCATCCTGCTTTTGCCCGCGCTCGACGAATACTAGTAATTTGGCCAGACGAGCGGAAACTGGACGGTACGACCAGAGGTGCCGCGCTGAAGCTCTAGTTAACAATGACATAGCACTCCTTTCGGCCTGACCGTGACAACGCTGATTGCACACTGCAGAAACGCTCGTCAGAGTCCTCCCGTCCTCTCGCAATCCCAGACCCAAGGCCTTTGACCTGCAATACGACGATACGGCCATGCTATTCGTTCCTCGGCGATCGGCACTGGTCACTAATACGATGCAATTCAACGTATCGGGTGCATTGCTCCGATTGTAGCCTGGCTATGACAGCGACTGACGACACTTTAGCTTCCTCCGCTCTCATCCAACGCAACACATTAATGCGGACGATGGTAGATAGGAGCGACAACAGGGATGGACGGGGCCGCAGATGCGGCGGGGTTTGGGAGCTACGAAAACCATCTCTTCATGAACTCGTATGTCGCCGTTAATTGTGTCTTGGCTGCTTCCTGACTCTAACCCTTAGCAACAAGCCTACACATAATGTATTGTTTCCCATCCGAGTCGTCGGCCAATCCATCCCCATACCCGGGCCTATATCCTCCAATTTCTTGTCTACTGAATGCCCTCAGCCAGCCGCCGAGTCCGTCCGCCGGCCATATAACCGGCCCGCTGTCACGCACTCGACTGGGTTTGCGAACTCGACTGTACCCGATGGTGTCCGCTATCGTAGCCGCATACTATGATTGGCTGTGGCCCGTTTTAGACTTCAAGTTGGAGCTGTCTCGGCTCAGCGGCAATCGGGTCTACACACACAACCGTCGACGCTTATTGCTCTGCTCAGAACCGCTCCTCTGGGGTACTCAAGAACCGAATATTGTGCTAACTGGATAGCTTGGCTTATCTGTGTGAAGCTGATGCAACATACTTATTTATTTATTTCTAGACATCCAAGTAAATCAGCATTATTATTAATTTTTCACGTTCCTAATGCTGCCGACAGCGACGCGTCACCCTCTGGCCGCCTCTTGACTCCTACTTCACAGCCTTCCCGCCATTCCGCTTGCCGATTCAATTGCCTGCCGTTCGTTTCGTACGGCATCTTGCGCAGCCATAGACCCTCACAGTGACTCCAAGTGCATCACTGCGAAGTTTACGTGCAACCAAGTACATAGGTATGTCCTTTTTTGGCCTCTATTGTCCATATTTCATTCGGGAGGCTGCCGGATAACAGGAAATGCAGGGAATATGGCGAGGGATTCGGACCAAGTCACTAGGTTTTTTCCCTGACGTTGATTGAGACCGACAAAACGCATGCCGCCACAAGTTCAGGGCGGTGCTATAAATGAACGAGGGCGGGGTCCCGTGACTTTCCTTAACGTTCTTGCCCTCCCCTCCCCCTCACGCGCAAAGCCCAATGAATTTTCTGAGGTTCACCGCTCAAGCATTCCGCAAGGCGCCAAGGACTCGGAAGCCACGCGCGCGCTTCACGGAGACCGCCACAGCTGTCCCATTGCGAACCACCGCGACCCCGGCACCACTTGACCTGGCGCTCTCCGCAGACGCCTTCCAGCAGTACGTCTGGAAAGTGGGGTATTGTGGGCGACGGCACGCTCCCCTCCATGGGATACGGATATTTTCGGTTGTCCACATCGATGCATGCGGGACAACACTGAATCTTGCTACGGGGGAGTTCACTGGGGGGGCGAGCGTCGAGGAGATGCTTGTTGCGATCCACCGTGTGCTCTTGGAACGCTATGTGTTGGTGAATGTTGCCCCGTGGCCAGGGTACGTTTGCCCGACTCGGATGCGCTTGATCGAGCCACTCGTAGAGCGAGGCGTCACGTGTGTGTATGGCGTGGATGTATCGGGTCATGAATGCAGAGTGTACGTCGGCCCTAAACCGTGGAGGTAAGGAGGGAGCTGGGGACAACAAGACACTGGCACGCGACGCACCTGAATTCGGACTCTTTCTTTTTCCTCCTCCCTGTCGATGACAGACCATGACCGGAATTCGTCCGAAAGCTGATATTTAACCTTATTACATGTAGCATTAGCATTGGCATCTCCATTAGAACCCACATAGTCGTACCTAGTCCATTTCATTCCCGTGTATTTGTACATTTTCAACGCGTTCGTCGTCAGAGAAATTCGAATTTTAGTCTGCAGACGCGCTGAGTATTCGTTTTGACAAGCAAGGACGGTGCGTACCTTGCTTGGATCAGAGCCTCAGCCTCCACAAAGCCACATGTTGCAGACGAGCACAGCCCTCCGGATAAGAGGGCCGACAGCCGCACCCACATTGGGAGCACAGGAATTTGCCAGTGAGAAGTAGGCGCGTATGAAGCAAGATGGGGGCAAAGGTGCAAGATGCAAAGAAGACGAGTGTACCTGTGTTGACGATGTTTAAGACCAAAGAGTCGCATCAGCTACCTTGTCAACGCGTTATTGTTCATGGACGCTTGACATGTCAGAAAACAATACTAGTAGGGAGTGTAGTGAAGGTCGATAGGGAGTACTTGGTTTCCTTATTGTTTTTGTTGTTCGAGTTTCTGGACTTGTTGTTTCCGAAGCAAGGAGTGCGCGTCATGATGATTACAGAAACTTCATTGAAGGCAGTGTCATTCGTTGACTGACGGCAAGTATGTCGGCGGAGAAGCAGTAGCCCTGAAAGTTCGTTTCTACAGCACTCTGGTGCTTTTCATGAACATGCTTGGAGAGAAATACGAGCACGGCGAAGACCAGACTCCAGAGAGTCGTAATGGAAGTCCGGAGGAAAGATCCGCGATGCTTGTCACTGTGACACTTCTCTTTTTCTTCCTCCACGATGGTCGACCGCGGCAACTATCCCTCTTACCCCATCCGCACCTTGTGCTTGCGCCCATGATTTCTCCAACACCGCGAGGAAATGCGCAGGAAGTATTGGAAGGCAACAGGTGTGTTCTTCACTGCTTTTCCGCTCGCTTTCCCGCTAATTTACTTGTCCGTTGTCGCAGAAGCGTCCGGCCAACGACCGACCTCGAACGACGGCGAATGCGCGAGGATATATGAGTGAGAGTCATGTAGGGCCCTCGTTTGGGGGATATAGGGACGGCCAAAGGTGCGTGGACCCGACATATCCATATTTTCGTGTCTTACTGAGCCATTCTCTTCAGAGACTCCACGAGACTCTTCTTTCGAATCATCAACGCCTTCAACGACGCGTAAAAGCGGCTGAGAGCACGCTGGGTCTCTAGGTTTGGGGCTGGATCGGTCTGGCGAAGGAAGCGAGGTGGGCATAGGCTGCAGCGCAAGAAGGCGGTCCCGCAGTCTCATTCGCGCCGCCGAGACGGGCGCTGGCACTGGAGGCGAGGCTAAAGAAAATATATTAGGTGTGTTCCCCCACTCACCGCCCAATCATCGCATTTACTCACTTGTCGTTTTGAAGAAAGAAGACCGGCCATCCCGAAGCCTACATTGGCTGCTCGTTGTCGGACGCTACAACGGAGCCCTTCGTTTGCGAACGTGAAGTCAGAGCGCTGGGAGGATGGGTGTTGACTACCGTGGGCGAATATGACTGGGATGGGTGGCCATGACCACGGTAAGCATGGCTTTTTGCGCACAAAACGAGCGCTTCCCTGACCATGTAACCAGCCCAGCCCAGTGGGGCCTTTCGACAAGCTTCTCTTTCCACCCGCTTCTATCCCCGCGCTCCTCACCCGTCACACACACACACCGAAGGAGTTCGACGTTCACCAACAACTTACCCATGCGCGCTCGGGAATTCCGCAGACGAGCGTTGGCTCGCGCACGCCGAAAGCAGAGTCAACAGCACCGAAATCACATTTCTCCGCAAGAATAGCACTTGGATGGTCTTGATTATCGAGCGCGTTGTATCTCGCCGACATTACGCAGCAAGGATAGCTTTCAGCGAGCCACATACCGGCGGCACCATGGCAGACGACTGGGCATTTTCCCGTTGCTGTTGTCACGTCCGAGAGCTCTTTATAATCATCCACAGCGACCCGAACGAACTTGCAATCGAGCAAGAACATTCGTATGCCGCAGGTTTTCGTGTCAGTCTGGCTACCTTCGTGCCGCATTCCTTATTGACGACGATTTTCAGAGCCAATTGGATTGGTCCACTGCATAACGGTGAGAGCAAGAGCAAGGGATAGTGGCGGCCGAGGGCAAGGGCAAGGGAATATCACGGCCCGTGGGGTGAGGCTGAGCAAGAACGAGAGCGAGAGTGTGGTTTTTCCCATCGTTGTATGTACGATCGTGCCACGAGGCTTGTTGTGCGACGTTGTGTGCCTCGCTACCACTCGTTACAGGAACCGTGTACTTGAAGGTCAGATTTGATTTCATCTCAGCGATGATGTTGTGAATGAATGCGCCACAACGCCTCCTTCCCTGTGCCGGTAGCTACGTTCTCGCGTTCGACCTATGAGACTACAATCTTACTCAGCCAAGATGGCAATGACTCCAATCTCTGCGTTCCTCTGAACTGCAAAACCCAGGAGCTGTTCGTCGTTGTCCGTCCCGCGCCAGAAAGATATGGCGGTCGAAACGGGGGAAAATTATCCCCAGGAGTATGGCGCTCGAAACGGGGAAAAAATACAACAAGTTCACATAATGTGTAATTGGGCCAAGAAAACATAGTGTTTAAAATTCAGCTACAATGATAAGAAAATTTCTCAGCTCTCTCAGGCATGGAAGAACTCAAAATTGATGAACCTATGGTCTAATTACTACAGTAGTAGCACTCAGATTTGGCAACAAATCAATGGTAATGCATAATTATCCACATTACCTTTAGTAATCATAAATTAGTATAAAATGTAATATCATTTATGGACTGATATTTCCATTGCAATTAATACATAATTATCCATGCTACCAGTATAAAATGTTTACAA